TTTGCTTATTCGGGGCACAAAGCCCCTAATCTTGAGGGCACCTAGTAGCCACCACCCTAGCCAATAAGCTTTGGGGAGGAGAAGCCAGGGAACTGAAGGAGAAGGCGAAGGCCCCTGGGAGCCCCAGATTTCTGGCTTGTACACTTCGTACATTGGTGATCCCTCCCTGAGATCAGGTGCTGGGAAAGAGGGTAAGGGTTGCAAAGATCCTAAGATTAGGTGAGAGGTCATATGTGGTTGCTCTTGGTCTGAGGCCCAGCTGAGAAATGGATTGGAGACTCCGACAGGTGTTACATTGTCCTGCCCAGGCCCACTTCATTGTCTTGTGTTGACTTATCACCCACCTGCAAACACAGTGCCTTTAGGCCCTTTGCAAAGCCTCTGTCTCACTGGCCTCAGCTTCCTCCTCATTCCCACTTTGCTTTCTTCCAAGACTAATAGTCTTTTCACCTTCTGCATCTGCCCTTCCTTTTTCATGGGAAATGCTCCCAATCCATCTGTCAATTGAACCCTTACTCATCCTTCAAGATCCCATTCCACAGTTTCCCTGGCAAACTACGGAAGCTAGTTAAGGGTTGTAGCTGTTACACCCTAACTCTTATCAGTGTCTCCCTTGTGTTTTCAGAAAGAAGGAACCCTTCACCCTCAAAAGTGCTCTCTGCTCCTGGGAACAGAGCCATTTACAGCCTATGGGAGGGTGGTTTTTTGTGTGTGTGTTTTTTTTTTCAGGGCAAGCAGAGATAGTGCATTACTGCTGCCTTCTTTTCATGCATTCAGTTTTCACTTTTGCATTCCCCACCCAGGCCCTGGGGAAAGTCCTTGCTATAATCCAGCCTGCAACCCTGCTCCAGAGGCCGCTGCTTCGAAGGCTCTAGGCCCCTGCCACTTCCTTCCTCAAGCAACCAGAATGGTTCCTGTAGCCTAGAAAAGGCCTGCAACCTTGAATGAGGGATGCAAACCCTGTCTGGCTGGCCCTGCCTCCCACTCCTTCGGGTCTACTGCCCTCCCTACCCATTTTCCCTGTTTCTAATGACTTGGCTCTTCTGTTTCTTCCTGTCTCAATTTTATCTCTCCTCTCCTCTCCTCTCCTCTCAGGCCCTTACTAGTTTTCCTTGTTTTTCAAGGTCAGCTTAAATGGCGCCTCTGAAACTTTCCTGGAACCACTGCAAAATCTCTTGCTTGGGCCTGAAAACAACGTTTTCAAAACTGTTGCTCTCAGTTGATGCTGACTCATGGCGATTCGAGCTACAGGCAGTTTCACCGTGTTCTCTCAGCTAAATCTTTATGGAAACAGGTCACCAGGCCTTCCTTCTGCAGAGCCCTCATGTGGGTTCCAGCCTCCAAATTCGAGGCCAGCAAGTAGCTGGCCACCCAGGAACCTGGGGGCAAGCTTGAATTTCTCCCCCAGAACCATCAGGACCGGTTAGGGGGGGTGTCTGTGGATGAAGGATGACGAGCGTGAGAATAGTCATCTGTGATCACTCCACCCACATCCCAGAAACGTCCAGTCTCTGTCCCAGTCCTCTGGGTTGGCCAGTCCTGAGTGTTCTTGGCCATCCTAGGCCTGGGCCCGTCTCCTCCAAGACAGAGAGGTGCATATCTTTGCCCCCTTCTCATCCCTCCAGCACGGCCGCCCCCAGCGCACCCGGCCCCTAAACAGAAGTTCCGGGGCGGGGGTGGGGTGGGGTGGGGGGAAATGACCCTGAGTGGCTGAGCAAGATGGAGGATAAACACCAGGGGGGCTCAGAGATGTTTCTGAACAAGAAAACTGTCTCTTCACCCGCGAAAGGGCGGGTGGAAAACACCCGTATCACGACTGCACTTGCTCCTTGAAAAAGGAACACCACTTGGCGGCGGAGGCCATCCAGCTAGGAGCTCAGCTTCCAGCCCGGAGCTCAGCCTCCAGCCCCGCGCTCAGCCTCCAGCCCCGCGCTCAGCCTCCAGCCCCGAGCTCAGCCTCCAGCCCCGAGCTCAGCCTCCAGCCCCGCGCTCAGCCTCCAGCCCCGCGCTCAGCCTCCAGCCCGGAGTTCAGCCTCCAGCCCGGAGCTCAGTCCCCGGGCGCCCGACACAAACAAGCCCCAGATACCCCGGCGCGAGCGAAGGCGCGGCGCCTTTAAGGGGCAGCGGGCGGGCTGCCTCCTGGCGGCCGGCGCCGTGCTCTTTCCGCCGCCCTGGGGTTCTCCGGCCGGGTCATCGTGGCCGGGGTGAGGGCGAGAACTGTGAGCGCGAGGACCGAGGGGCGGCGGCGATGCCGGCGGGTGAGGGTAGCGGGAAGGGGGGGTGTGAGCGCGGAAAGACCGGGAACCGCCGCGCGCGCCGCCAGGGGCACCGAGGGTGGGACCGCGGGGCGGGGGCGGGGGCGCGGCGGGGCGGGGCCTAGGCAGAC